GCCCCGCCCCGCCGGCTGGCGCTCACGCCCTCTCCTCGGCCGGGGTCCCTGGAGCTGCCCCATCCTGCACGAATTTAGGGCGGCGTCGGTGATCCGACCTAGCCAAGAGCGGGTGCTCTTGTCTGCTGGCCATCCAGGGAGATGGACCGTTGCTGCACCTTGACAGGTAGGAAAGGTTCGCCACCAATCGCCGGGAAGTTGCCAAAGATCCAAGAGGGGTTCTAGTCCTGTCTCTTGACACTTGAGCTCATTTGCAGCCCAACTGAGCTTTCTTCTCTATCGTGAACTCGCGTGTCCGGAGAGGGTAATAATACCACCGATCATTTCAACTCAAATACATTGACTTGAATCATCTGACAGAACAAGTCGTAAGTATTTACTCGGACATTGAGAATAGTCATTTATAGCAACGTGTTCCTGTGTACCAAAGATGCTATAAACTTCAAACAGCAGACCATTTGCTTGCAAACACCACAGAAAACGAAATGTTGGGAAAAGCCCCACACTGGTTTATGAATCAGTTCTTTGTGGTCTTAAGGACAATACCCAACCCAAATCAAACTCAACTGCCATGAGTCGTCGCCAACTCAAAGTGACCCTTCAGGACCTCAGGGTGGAAATGCCCCCCAGTGGGACTCCTCATGGGAGTAGAAAGCCCTCTCTTTTTCCCTCAGAGGGGTTGGCGGTTTCACACTGCTGACCTTGTGGTTAGCAGCCTAACGTGTAATCCACTGCACTTCCAAGGCTGCCACTTATTGTGTGCTTAGAATGATGCCTGTAGCCCCCTGCTTTTCATTGAATCCTCATGTCCTTAGGAGTTCAATTTACTGATCACCTGGCTGGAGGTCACACAGGCAGAGGGACAGGGCAGGACTTGGTCACTGGCTTGTCAGATTCCAGAGCGGAAGGTGCCGCGTCCCACCAAACTGCCCTTGGCCCGCCTGGTCCCAAACTGAAAAACAAATCCTTTGAGCGGGACAATAGACCAGATGTTATGTTCATGGGTAGGCACAATGAATATGTTTCTACCCAATCCTCGGTGAACCATGTCATGGACGACCTTGAACACAGACTTTACAAGTAGCATGCATGGCACACCCCAGGGCTATACCAGAAGCATTCAACACAGGCCCCACTGAATGAACTGAGCCCTGCCTTGAAGCTGCCTGCACCCTTGGACTGAGGACTGGGAGACTGATGGGACAGGAAGCAGCGAGTGGCCACCTGGGGCTGTGGAAGTGGTGGTCACTGGACCTTGAGGGGGAAGCCCTGGCTTGGCTGTCCAGTGGAAAAGGACCCAGAATCACCAGGTATTTAGTACCTCCATGCCCCCACTCCCAGCCCCTTTGTATTAATGTGACCGGTTTTGATGTTGGTCAGGGATCTGCACTTGGAAGAACTGATCCAGAATTGATCTTCCCACCCCAACCCCCAATGCACAGGGTAAACAGAGCATAATCGAATGGGAAATCAAGCTGTGCAGGGCAACAGCTCCAGGTGGAACTGTATTGGCATAGACTCTGCATATCGACAGTGTCCAGAGTGCCGTGCCATTGGGAAAATTGTTGATGTTACCAGTGCAAATGCCTTATAGCCCAGGGGGATGATTGACAACGTTTTACCTTTTTGTTTCTGTGAGTTTTTGTGTGCCTGCCTTTTGTTTGCTCTTGTTTCTGTTTTGCTTGTTTGCCAGTTGATCTGTTGCTGCTGTTGGTGTAGTTCGTCTTATGGGGTTTTGATTTTGTCATAATCCGAGTGCCAAAGTAAATCAGAGTCCTGCATAGCCCGTGGACAAGCAGATGGGTTCTGGGTCCCACTGAACTCTAGCTCCAGCCCAAGAACTGTTGGTTCTGATCACATGACCCTGCTTGATTCTCACCTTCGTGAAATGATCACTGAATATAAGAGTGCTACAGTTAAGTGTGGTGAAGAAAACAGATGGTGCTCGGCTATTAATGGGAACAGTGTCTGGGGTCTTGTATTCAAAGAAGCAGTCATCTAAGTGAGGCATCAACTAAGTCCACATGGAAGAAGCACACCAGCTTGTGTGATCCAAAGATGAAAATATGACTAAGGGAAATCCAACTCTGACTAAGGGAAACGTATCAGAGCTTAAATTGTGAACACCCAATTTATAGAAGGCTATAGAGGACAGTGGAGCCCAAAACCTATCTGCAGAGTATTTATTCAGATTTAGCTCTGACAGGTCCCATCTACCACCGGCAAGGGTCTCTAACAGCCTTACTGTCAGGTAGAGAACATTGTAAACTTGATTATGCTGGATTGAACTTGATATTAGGTCAATTGACCTCCCTCTTGACCCAACCTGAATTTGCTCTAGGCTCAAGTATTTGTTTGTTCCATGACAAAAATTTCTTACCTGGCTTTTAAAATATTGATGGTGGTTGTGTTAGGCCTAGTTGATTAGACAAACAAATCCAGAGACACTCATATGTGTATAAGAAGAGCTTTATATCAAAGAGTAATTGTATATTGAGAAAACACCCCAGCCCAGTCCAGATCAAGTTCATAAGTCCGATAGTAGCCCATATGTCCGATACTAGTGTATAAATTCCTCTTCAGACTCCTGCAGCACATGCGATGATGCTGAGTGCAGGAAGATCACAGGCTGGTGGGTGGAAAGTCTTGTGGATTCAGTGGCAGTGGAAGCATCTCAGTGCTGGCTAGGGACTCCACGTGGCTCCTCCAGCTCTCCGAGTGTCTCAACAGCAGGAAAGTGAATCAGAGAGAAAGTGTGTGGACCACCTCCAGGGAGAAAGAGAGGAAGTTCCCAGAATCCTTAGGAGAAGGCCACGCCCACAAGGAGGCATCATCAGGCTGTGACCTGATGACAAGCTAGACTCCACCTCTACACTTATTTATCAAGTTGACATGAAATTATGTAACTACCACAGTGGTCTTTTCTTTCTTACTCATTATTTGTATTTTTATCTTTATATGATTATTTTATCCTTACCACGTTGTTTCTTTTCCGTTTCCCAGTTAGTGAAGCACAGGGTGGGTAGATGCCTAGAGATAGTAACTAATGCAAGGGTTTCTGGTGGATGTGAGGGTTGGGGGTGGGGGATAGGGAAGGTGAGGGGATTTGGGGAGCAGACGATAAATGTGGGAGCAGAGAGGGAACATTATAACTGATGGAGATTATACAACTCATTTAAAAAATGATTTAATCATAGAAGTATATGATATATGAACACTCTATCAAGAAAACCATGAAAAAAAAAATAAACCAAACTTGACCAATGGTTTCCATAGGTGAAGGGGAAAGAGTTGTTGCATAGGGGGCATGAGCTTATGCCAATGGTGGTAGAGAAATTTGGAAAAGGGTATCAATAGTGGCTGTACAGCATGAAGAATATAATCAATGACACTGATTTACACAAGTAGGCATTGGAGAATGTTAGTTGTGTATATATTTTGCCACAATTAGAAAAAAAAGAAAAATTACATGAATAACAATGACTACAAGGAAGAAAATGTTCTAGGATTGATATGGTGACACCTGTACAACTCTTCTTGATTTAAATGAATTATTGAGTTGTACGACATGCAGATAAAGTGCTAATAAAACTGTTTAAAAAAACACAATGATCAAATAAAAAACGGTAACTTTGGAACATGACAACACACAAAACGCAATTCTTATTTATTGTCATCAAATAGATCCCACCCCACAACTTGGCAGCACAGAAGAGCTGTCTGGGCTCTCTGCGACCGTCTGTCTTTATGAGAGAGCCCCATCATTCTCCTGAGGATTAGCTGACACATTTGATCCACTGACTTTGAGAGTAGTGAGTTGCTTCACACTAAGCATATAGCTCAGTCCTGCATTTCTTTGGATAGACACTTGTCAAGCAGTTTGTATTCTCAACATCCTTCCCAAGGCCTCTTTGTTCTGCAAATGAAAGCTGGCTCTCCCCTAGGGATGTACTCACTCTGCAGTCCTCTCTCAAACTAAGGACTTGGGGGGGGGGGTGTTAATCCGGGTTGACTAGAGAAACAAATCTGGGGAGACATGCATATGTGGATAATAAAGAGCTTTATATAAAAGGGCTATTGTATATTGAGAAAATACCCCAGCCCAGTCCAGATCAAGTCTATAAGTTCAATATTAGCCCATTTGCCAGATACCAGTCTATAGATTCCTCTTCAGACTCATGCAACACATGCAATGATGCTGAACGCAGGAAGATCACAGGCCAGTGGGTGGAAACTCTGGTGGATCCAGTGGTGGTGGAAGCATCTCAATGCTGGTATGGGCCTCCATGGGGCTCCTCCAGGCCAGGGCTCTGGCTCCATCAGTGTAACTCCATGTGGCTTGTCAGCAGGAATGTGTAGCAGAGAGCA